AAGCTGGTCCTAGTGGCATTAAAAGAAGGGAAGTAACCCCAGAAAAGGACTCGACACCTCAAGTCTTAATGGAAGGGGATTCCCCTTCTAAACACTAACACTCTCTCTCCCCTCCTCCCATCCCATCAATCATCACCAGATCTTCAATAAAAGTAAGTGTCATGTAATTGTGCATGCCTTTTTCAGTTTGTGTGTATTAAAATTAACATTTCATGTGGTAAAATTTTTTTTTTTTCATACTTTTGGGTGTCTTGCACGGATTAATTTGATTTCCATTATTTCTTATGGGGAAAATTTATTCGCATACCGATCATTTCGCATAACAATGAGCCCTCTTGCACGGATTAAAGTCGCTATGCGGGGGTCCACTGTACATGTACTTATATAGTATAGTTATCCTGTCTTCTCTTTCCCTCTATTTAGTTCTTGAATTGAATGAAACAGGGAGGCACAAGAAAAAACAGGAGTAAGTACAAGAGAGAAATAAGAAAGAAGCACAACAGAGAAAGAAATAAAAGAAGCACAAGAGAGAGAAACAAGAAATGCTACAGCATAAACTAGGAATGAGAGGATAAGAACGGGAGATGAGAAAGGAGACAAATAAGAGAAACAAGATGTTTTGAGAAGTCTACAGCTTTGTCTCTAGGCCAAATAGGTAATGAACCTAGGTAATGCAATAATTATGTTACCTGGCACACTGTTAATATTTGAATCATATTTGCTTATCTGCTGTTGTATAATGTTTGCCACTACTGTATAAACTGGTTAAGGATATACTGTTGGGGAGCCTCCTGTTAGAAATTCTATTTAGTATACTCCTGGAGTCTTTTTACCTTTCTAATAGAATCAGTTGTTTATCCATCAGTTGAGATCATCATATGGTACTAAATCTCCTTTCTCCTATTATTCTCATCACTTTACATTATACTAATAATAATAATTTTATTTTGACATGATACATAGTTGTACAAAGGAATATAATAGTTGTGTGTACATGCCAAGAGCCCCTTGTATGTAGAGCATTTTGGGCAAACTTAAAATTAACTTAAGATTAATTAGGCTATAACGGATTAAATGGTCATTAGGTGAGTAACAGTGAGAACAGAGACATGAGTATTAACAGGTAATGCTATATGGCTTTAATAGGTCTAGTAGAGAAGTTTAATAGTGAATAATTACAGTTTTGAATTATTTTATAAAAATTACAGTATTACAATAAAACAATTTACAATATGAAGTATGACAATTTAGTATTCAGAAGAATGAAATTTGAACATCCAGTTATTGAAGTAATCAGTACATGGTTGAGCAATCTTCAGCAAAATATTCGGTATTGAAATTGAGACATCACTGGTACTTTTTGTGTTGCTTTGAAGTAAATGATAGATATTAAGTACAGCTTTTCTGGTTAATTTTGGGTGATAAGATGGTTTCTAAGTAGAGCCTTAAATTGATTTACAAGCAGGGGTCCTTTAGTGTGTTCTGGTAATGAATTCCAGATCTCAATGCATAGCATTTTTGCACAGGAAGAGATGGACACAAGGGACATCGAAGAGTGATTTGTGTTTTATATTATGGTTGTGTGTTCTGTTGTAGTTAGCAAGTAGGAGTTTGAGAGGAGAGTTTATATTTGAGTATAGTGTTCTGTGCATCTAGCAGGCACAATAAGTGTGGATGTTTTGTATATCGAGTAAGTTAAGACTCTTGAAAAGCTGAGGAGTATTCTATGACAAGAGTTGGTAATCAATCGCACTGCAGTTTTTTGTTGGGTTATTAAAAGTTTAAGGCAATTTGCTGTGGTTGAGCCCTATGCACAAATACCATAGGTGAGGTACTGGTTAATGAGTGAGTGGTATAGTGCAAGAAGAGTTGATCAGGATACATATTACTGTATCTTTGAGAGGATGCCTACTGTTTTGAAGACTTTCTTGGATATTTGCTGTATGTGAGTTTGGAATCTGAGATTGCAGTCTAGGTGGGGACCTAGAAATTTGCCCTGTGTGTGTCTAGAAATGGGTGAACCATTTATCAGTATGTTTAGCTGCACATTTGTACTTCTGTTTCCAAACAGTATAAAATGGGTTTTGTCTATGCTGAGTGTAAGTTTCTTGGTAGTCATCCAAGTTGGGTGAGAAAAGACATAAATAATGAGTATCCAATTTACTGGATCATTTTTTTGCCATTGCTCTGTCATCCTGCAGTCATTTGCAATCATTCTGTCTGTTCTTAGAAACTTTGCATTATCACTGTGATGTACAGAAATCCATCTGCCCAGGAGAAGGGCATTCTTTCAGGGAGAGTAAAATCAAATAAAAATAAAGAAAACAGCACAATCATATTTTTGTTTTTTAACTATATAAGGAGTTTAGAGAGATTATAAATGAGGTTAATATTATATTGAGGGTCAGAAACAAAGCTAAACAAATATTCTAAATGTAATAATATAGGTACTTAGGAAAAACTACCAGGTATTGAGAACAAACATTAATAAAGAATGGAAAAGGGGAAAAAAATAATAGTCATATGCTTTACTGTAATATTAGAATTAAGGTAGTGGAAAAAAGTCAAAACTAATATGTAACACCAAACGCATACAACCAAAGACTGAACACTACAACAGATAAGAGAATGATCATAAGTATTGGACTATGCAGAATACTACAAGTAAGATGCTTACCGAAGTGACAGAATAAATATTATTAACAGAAATTTCAATTATAAAACTAGGGTAGGAGAAAAGTGATGTGTGGTTAAGATTCTCGGAAGTAGGAGAGGTGTGGGGAAGAGCAAGTTTCCTCTCTTACACTATCCGCTATCTGACAACCCAGATTTCCACTTCGGCAAAAACTGACAAACCACTGTCCTTTTCAATTATTATTATAATCAAGGGGGAAGCGCTAAACCCGGAGGATTATACAGCTGTCCTGTTCAAATATCCTCTCACTCCTTCATTTTTTTTTTTTCTGGTAAGTTATTACTGTAATGTTCATCTTTCCTATCTGATAATTTTGTGAAGGAACAATTAGGTTGTACTTATTTGATAAAATTTAGTCAAGAAATGTAGTAATTGCATTTCTGCATATCAGATAACATAGGCAATGAGATTAACTAAAATCATGTTTTATAAGCAAGTTTTTTTATGTTTTCAGTTCATTTTATGCATTTATATAGTAAAACACATCAAGGAAAAAAGTGCGATTCTTTTAAGCCTCCAGAACTAAATCAATGCCAGCACCACCAAATGATTCAATGAAAATTATGTACTAATTAACCCTTTCAATGTCAGCCCCGTAATACTACGCCAAAATTCTAGCGCCTCCAAATCTGGTGGGAAAAAGCTGGTAGGCCTACATGTGAGAGAATGGGTGTGCACGCTCAGTGTGCGCAGTATAAAAAAAAATCCTCCAGTACACAGTGCACGAGGGAAAAAAAAAAAACTCCATGTTTTTGGTTTAAAACACCGATTTGCGGTGTATTTTCATATGGTATTTATGGATGTATTCTCCCTTCCATGGTCTCTTTTGAGAGAATGGAAGATATGTTACAGAAATATAGATGATTTTGAATGGTTTTTGGACTAAAGGTACCTTGAAATTGAGCTCAAAGTAGCAGAAATGTTCGATTTTTGCCAATGTTCAAGACTAAACAAATTGCGCCAAATGTCCAGTACACACCAACTGGTGGGTCTGATATGCTTTCACAAAGGTGCTATTATTATTTATACCATTTTTACAATAATGCAGTAGTCTGCATAACAGTAAATCTTTTTGTGTGCGAATAAAAATTCAAAATGGAAAGAAAGTGTAATATAAGAGGGGTCTGGAGACATGAGTGATGAACAGAGAAAATGTTATTTTATTGCTACAAATGTCTGCATTGTTTATTCTGGCCCCTATTTTGAAATTGGCCTATTTGAATTGTGTATGAAATTGGCCAAATTACCAATTTCTGATCACTTTATTGGGAAGTCGAAATCAGTAAATGGGAGGTTTATTGTAGTCAATCGATTGAACAAATCGAGTTCTAGCAGCAAAATAGCTACATGTTTAGTTGGCTGGAACAGTGGAATTGGCCGAAAACAGGGCTCAAAGTGGGTAAAATCGGTGAGGCGTAAATATTGCCAAGAGCGCTAAATTCGCAAGTGTAATCCCATAAGTTTTCCACCATTTTTTCTTTTTTGGTGTCATTACCACTGGAAAAAGATTCTCTATCATTTCGTACGAAAAAAAAAAAATTCGAAATCTTTCGACACAGAACAAGAGTTTAGAATCAGGTGTCCCGACAGTGACAGGGTTAACATATTTCCCAACGAATATAACCAAAAGCGGTGAAATTTAGTACATGATCATTTGTTAAGTACATCTGTGTCAAAAAATGTAAATTCTTATTTTTTCTAGCTGCTCACATTTTTTTCTCTGTTGATATATTAGATAAAATATCTGATATAAGTTACAAGAGTATTTACATTGATGTAATATATAAAACTAAAATAAAATCTGACCCCACCCTGAATATCTTGGGCATTACCTCAAAACAAATTTGTGTACAGCAGAGTTACGTGGATCTGGAGTTACCTGGAGAGAGTTCCGGGGGTCAATGCCCCCACGGCCCGGTCTGTGACCAGGCCTCCTACCCACTAAACTAAAAAAAAATTGATGTTTGAAAAAATTTGACTTTCATAATTTGCCTTGCTTATTAAATAATCAATTTTTGTGTAGTTTCATTTATATGTTTACTGAGCCTTCATTACCCCGAGATTTTAATTTTTACCCCATTTGAGGAAATTTACCCCAGTTCCCTGATCTCTGGTCTATCTGAAAGCCCGTGTGTTCAAATATGGAGCTACCCCCATACAGATCAGATAACTGAACACCCATTGTGTCACTGGGAATACAATGTTTAGCAGAAAGAAAAAGCTTAACCATAACTTTCTCTCCCTCCCTTTCATTATAAATCTCCTCACTCTCTCCACCAAAGGTATCGGTTTATGATAAACAAAGTAGATGGAAACATTTATTTGTATAATCTACACTACATTTTTATCATTTACATTAACCTTACAAGCTTTATAGGAATGAATAATGATACAGTATTCTATACCTAATAAATACAATGGTGATTAAGTTTTTGAACAACCAAACACCTGAGAACCTAACAAATTCAATAACTTATTTAACTGTATGACGTGACCACATGTGCGTATCTAGGCTCCCCTTATTAGAGGAGCGATAAGGGCACTGGTTACAAACGTAAGGCTTCTCTCCAGTATGTATACGCATGTGTGTTTTGAGATTTGTTCTCTGATTGGCACGATATGGGCAATGTGGACAAGAAAATGGTTTTTCTCCAGTATGAACGCGCATGTGATTAATAAGGTTTGTAGTGACTGAGGTGTTGTACAAACAGTATGGGCACTGGTGTGTCTTGCCAGAGGTGACGTGGGCCTTCCCGCCTCCTTTCGCTCCTCTCTCTCCAGTCCTGAGACAGGCACTGTCCAGCCCCACCTGTTGGGGACGCCCAACTTACTCAGGGTCATAATCATATCAATAAATATTAAAACAGATTAAATATGTAGCACAACTCACGACACTACTCATTTATAGTGATGAGGTTTTAAGTTTATAAATAAAAATTAAACCATGCTTCAGGAAATTATAATTAAAAAAGTACATCTAATGAGGAACTACCATATGCAGCAGATTTAACAAAAACTGCAATACACACAATATAATCACACAATCCTTGCTAACCTTTTATCCACTAGACCAACATGTTACCTTTGTTCATATATATTTTTATATTTAATAATGTAGTGCCAAATAGGTAAAACTGGTCAATTAGCAAGAATTCATTTAAAGTCCTTTCTAAAGCTTTCTCTTATACATTTAAAGATACATTTTTTCATTTATGTTAATATAAAGATAAATGATTTTGTACAAAAAGAACCTTAGGAAACTTACCTAACGTTATTATAACAAGTACAATTTAATTTAGCCTAAATCAACTTAATATGCAAGTTTACAATAATTTAATAATGAACAAACACAATGAAATATATTTTTTCGCAAGCCTCAGAATGATTTTTGTCAAATTATTGCATACACAAATTTTTACTCGCCCTATACGGCAAGAAGTGCATTGCTATTTAAGCCAAAATCGCAAGTTTTACTTATTTGGCATGACATATATGTATGTATGTAGTGCTGAACAGGTAAAAACTTGCGATTCTAGCTTAAATAGCAACACTCTTCTTGCCAAATAAGGCAAGTGAAAACCTATGTATGCAATAATTTAGCAAAAATCATTCTGAGCCTAACGAAAAAATATATTTCATTGTGTTTTATTTATTAAATTATTTTAAACTTATCTAAAATATACATAGTTGGATTAGGCTAAATTGAATTGCGCTTGTTATAATAAGGTTAGGTAAGTTTTCTAAGGGTCTTTTGATACAAAATTATTAATTTTTACATTAACATAAATGAAAAAAAAATATCTTTAAATGTATAAGAGAAAATTTTAGAAAAGGACTTTACTTTAAACGAGTTCTTGCTAATTTACCAGTTTTACCTGTTCAACACGACATTATACATAAAATAGAAAACTGGATGAGAATTGGCCAGTATAAAGTGTGTACTCATATAGAGTTGCATTACTAATCAAGTTTTAGGAAGTACTGAGCTATGTCAAGCTAATACTATCAAGTTGTTTCTGTCAATAGATTAGTGTTAGGCCTTTTCCTTCTTTATTAAGTGAAGGTACACATAAAATAATAACCATCTGCAAACAATTCAAGTGGCCAATGCTCTAAATATGGATACTCCCATGGTAATACTGTTTCATGAGATGTATATCATAGGCATGCCAACAACTTGGAAAAAATTAGCAACCACAATATTTTAATGTCATCCTACCATCAGTATTACTGACAAAATTTTACCTCGTATAGATATACAATATGCTATGACTTTATATAAGCGGAGCTTGCAATCATAGCTTCAAGAATAATGATTGTTTTGCCAGACAAGAAATGTTATTTCCATTGTTGTAATAGTTTCAGAAAAATCTGTGAGCAATCACAATATTTATGCACTGCATCAATGTCAAATACAGTAATACATTTAACTAAACTTAGGGTGAGCTAAAATTGGCTGGGTAGGTTTTACATAATTACTTTAGCATGGTTAGATTAGGTTGTTGAATTAATTTTGATAAAAAAAATTAATTTCAAAGTTAATTTGCAAAAATATACACCAATACTGGAAGATGAAAATATAGTTTTGGAATGGTTGGCATATTTATGCAAAAGAAAGGATGGTACTGTACCTAGAAACTGGCAGAAAGTATGCAAATATCCTTGGAACAAGCAGACAAGGAAAAGTGTAAGAATTTTAGGAAAAAAAATGCTTGTCGAGTACATGAGAAAGTATACAGTTGTAAGCGTTAAAGCATATACAACAACAATGCTGAAATAAAGGTAAATATCTGTAGGTTGCATTTATGTATTTAATAAAAGTATATAATAGAACAGATAAGGAAGTAATGTGGCAGGTGTTGCAAGTGTTGGGAATAGGTGGCAGATTATTCAAATCTGTACTGTTTTAAGAGGATTACGAGGCTCAGGTAAGCCTTATATAGGGATGCATAGTCACAGAGGCTGCTTAATGCATTTAAAGATGGAACTGTTTAAGAAGTAAATACTGAAGTGTTGGGGAGAGTTGTGGGATTAAAAGATAATTAATCTTATATGAAGTGGGACTCTATAAGTTGCTTTCTACATAAGACAGTAATTGGAGAGATTCAAGACAGAATTAGCAAAAGATGGTGGAAAAACTGATAAGTGTGTAAAACAAGGAAATCAGAGAAGCAAATTAAAAAAAAAAAAAAAGGCAAGGGGATGAGAGAAAGCAGTATAGGCAATGAGTGACTGAGGATAAATATATGTATTTATGTATTTTTGAAGTAAATGTATCAGCAAATGGGTGTATGAAAGAGAATCAGAACAGACAAGGGATAAAAACAGATGAAGTTTCAAAGCCTTGGTAGAAAGAAATGTGATGCATAGTCTCTGATGATGCAGCGAGGAGCACACTGGAGGTATTCTTTTTGAGATCAATATTTGATGTGATTATGATGCACAAACTAAGGAGTGGAAGAATTAGAAGACAATTTGACGGTACGAAAGGTACAACTCAGAAATCAGAGGAGGGGTTGTTTATATAGTTTGATCATTTAGAAAGAGTGAAGCAGAATAGTATGAAAAAGAGAACAAATAAATTTCAGGTAGATGGACCTTTGTGTAGGGGAACATCTCAGTAAAGGCTGGAAGGAAGTTGCAAAGGTTGTCAGTGGTAGAGGCTTGAGCATCCAATTCGGCGACATATAAATTCAGTTTTGTATGTCACCTGGCTGAGAATTCATCATGTCAAACCCTAAACCCACCTGTCTCCATTTTAGCATGATTACACATGCTTGTTGGATGCTCAAGTCAGGTGACATAAAACAGAATTTATGGAAACTGGTCAGCCAGACTCGAGTTCTGGAGGTCTGAAGTATAATACCTCCACGTTAAAAGATGGGTAGGGATGCTGCACTTTGAAGGATTATTCAAAATGTAATATCCATGTATTTCCAGCAAAACAGCCATTTTGTGATTGATAGTGAACATTTCTTTGTTTCTGTGGGTCACCACACATTGGTAGTAAACAACCAACATGGTAAAGCATATTGTGAAATATATTACGACATTGGTGCACCTCACGATGAAATGCATCGAGTACCACATGAGTGACCGTTCTCGTTCTCTGGGTGTGTAGCAGGAACCAGTACCACATGGATGACCATATATGCTAATGCTTGCTACACACCTAGAGAGGATGCAGTGTGAAGGGACAAGAGATGAGGAAAGAAAAGGGGAAACTTGAGGTATAAGGGAGGTAAAACAGGGATGACAAAGGGAAAAGGTGGATTAAGATGAAGGGGAAAGCAAGTTTGATACTATGGGCAAGAGGCAAAAAAAAAAGGTGGAAGGCAATGAAAAGAAAAATGACAATGGAATGAACAAGGGCAAGGTGAAATGAGGGAGGGTGAGGTGAGGGAACTGAAGGAGGGTGAGGCGAGGGGGAATGAAGGTGGGTGAGGTGGGGAACTGAAGGGTGAGGCAAGGGGAATGAAGGAGGAAGAAGAAGGGGAAGGAAGGTGAAAAGGAATGAAGAAGGGTGAAAGGGAATGAAGAAGGGTGAAAGGGAATGAAGAAGGGTGAATGGGAATGAAGAAGGGTGAATGGGAATGAAGAAGGGTGAATGAGAATGAAGGGAGAATGGGAATGAAGAAGGGTGAATGGGAATGAAAAGGGGTGAATGGGAATGAAGAAGGGTGAATGGGAATGAAGAAGGGTGAATGAGAATGAAGAAGGGTGAATGAGAATGAAGAAGGTGAATGGGAATGAAGAGGAGTGAATGGGAATGAAGAAGAGTGAATGGGAATGAAGAAGAGTGAATGGGAATGAAGAAGGGTGAATGGGAATGAAGAAGGGTGAATGGGAATGAAAAAGGGTGAATGAGAATGAAGAAGAGTGAATGGAATGAGAGGGAATGGGAATGAAGAAGGGTGAATGGGAATGAAGAAGGGTAAGGGAGAATGATGGAAGGTGAGGAGAATAAAAGGTGAGAGGAATGAAAGTGTGTGAGAATTATTGAACAAGGAGGGAGAGGAGAAGTGAATAAGGAGAAAGAGAAGTGAACAAGGATGGAGAGGAGAAGTGAACAAGGATAGAGAGGAGAAGTGAACAAGGATAGAGAGAAGTGAACAAGGAGGGAGAAGAGAAGTGAACAAGGAGGGAAAGGAGAAGTGAACAAGGAGGGAGAGGAGAAGTGAACAAGGAGGGAGAGAAGAAGTGAACAAGGAGGGAGAGGAGAAGTGAACAAAGAGGGAGAGGAGAAGTGAACAAGGAGGTAGAGGAGAAATGAACAAGGATGGAGAGAAGTGAACAAGGAGGGAGAGGCGAAGTGAAAAAGGAGGTAGAGGAGAAATGAACAAGAAGGGAGAGAAGTGAACAAGGAGAGAAGAGGAGAAAGTGAACAAGGAGGGAGAGGAAAAAGTGAACAAGGAGGGAGAGGAGAAGTGAACAAGGAGGGAGAGGAGAAGTGAACAAGGAGGGAGAGCAGAAGTGAACAAGGAGGGGAGAGAAGGTAGGAACATAAGAATAAAGACTAAGTACAAAAGAGGTAGAAATGCTCTGTCATGAACAAACTTTTTAACTAGAGAAATACTGTAATGATTTAGACATGGTATATTTGTCAGAAATAAAAATTTTGGTACATTATTGACCCATCTACCTGTGTATACATGCATTGTTACCTTAACTCTTCATATTACAACACTATTATAATCAGTTCAGTCGTGTAGCAAAACAACGAAGGAATATGCCACCGACTGGCTCTTATCATAAACACAGTGAAAATATTATATATTCCCAACTTCAAGTAACCATCTTTATTCATTGTACTGGAAAATGAATATGCTGTCAAACCATGCAGTGGTAATTATACAGTATTAAATATACTTAGATAACACTGCAAAATTTACACACGATGATCCACACATTTGAACTCAAAAATATTGACAACATTCATCAAGTAGCATTATTAACTGACTGACTACAATTACCTGAAGTTAAACAAACAGGTAAGATGGTTGATAACATCAAACTCCACATTTAAAACTCTTTTTAAACTGTTCCACTGATTTCCTCCACCATGACAATATGAATTTCCTAAGGTCATTTCAACATGGAACTTGTGGTAATTTTACATTCCATGAATTATTTTCAACTTTTCACATTTATAAGCTTTATTTTCTGGAGTATTAATACATATACTGTCAAAAAGGCTTATAATACTGACAAAGAAACAGAAAGATGAACAATTTCCTTAACAAATCTCATTTTCAAAGCTTCTTCACTATATGAAATTAATGTTTAATATTAGTTTCTGGTAACTTCTAAACCCTAAATTTAATGCATTGTAGTACACTACAATAGCTACAAATTTAAACCTTACAAATATTTGTTTTTTTGTCAATCTCTCACTAAAGAAGGGCAGCTTTAACAATTTCATATACCATTTTCCTTCTGAAGTAAGGCATATGCTGCTGATCAAATGTTATGGCTCCATCACGCGACAAATATTCTGCAAACATGCAGGCGAACATCCCACAATCTGATCCATTCATCTGTTGAGGAATATCCTTTACATTCTCCAATGTCCAACCACTTGTGTCATAACTGGTCTTCTTTTTATCTTGGTGCTCATCCTCAAGATATTTAAGCAACGACTCAAGACATGCATCATTGTCGCCCAACATTGAATCATAGTAACGAATAGCTTTGACACGAAAATCTATAGTAGCTAGACACCAGTGCATCCCCAAATGTATTGGAACAAGTAGGATATCATAACTAAATGTATCAATTTTCTTAGTCCATCTTTTAACTGTCTGAAAACCAGTCTTCATCAGCTTTGGATAAAAGAAAGTATTAAAGGCATAAACATTTGGGTAATTGTCATTCTTGCCTCTTTCCATTAATAAATTCATGTAGAAATTAATGACTTCATCATTTAGCCAATTAAGGCCAGCCAAAGTAGATACATCGTGACGAGTAATCTGAGTATTGAACTTATCAACTAATACTTCCTCAGCAGGAGTTTTTTGCAAAGCATTATCAATAATATCTTCCATCTCTGGAGTGAGTTGTACCAATTCTTCATCCTCCTCCTCCTCCTCATACTCATCACTCAATAAATAATTCTCCTCCTCAAGAGATGATTTCCTAACAGATGGAGGGTATGCTATATCAAGATGCCTCATACCAAGAGCAATACGTTTTTCTTGAGATGCCTCCAGCTTTTTCCTCTTTTCTTGTATTAGTCTCTGTTGTTCTGCCATAATCTCTGCCTCACAGTCACTTGCTTTGGAATGAATTTCGTACTTTTCACGTAAAGATTTTAACCAATCAAGATGATATACAGGAGATTCTTGAAGGCGTTTCTCCAAAGAATTTTTAAATGAAGATTTTTCTGCCATCTCACAGGATGGCTTTTTATCTTGGGTCTCTCTAGCATTGATGTTATTTATAACACTACCAGATTCTGTCAGTTCAACTATAGGAGCATCTGGAGCCCTCTTTCCTGGAATGTCTGGGATATGAAATATTGGTGTTGCATCTGATTCTAGCATAGATGAAGGAACAGAATCTGTAGAAGTTTCAAGCTGTTGTCGCATTTCCTGTGTCCAGGTGGGGCTACAATGGGAGCGTAGGATCATTCCTAAAGGACTGATGTTACGCATGGTGCATGAACTAGAGGACCTTGGCTGTACTGTAAACTCTGCATGGGTGGATGGTAGGACAGCAGTACCTGTGAACTGCTGTAAGAGTTGTGCATACCAAATTTTATCCTCATAGCGAAAACTTGTTTGGGCACAGAAGTTTCCCCTTCCATATAAGAAAGATTTTGAACGTGGCTTCTTTCCATATATGAAGGATTTTGAATGGGGCTTCTTTTTACCAACTCTAAAGAATTTATCCTGAATGCTCTTGATGGGGCTTTTGGTGATGAATCCACTCTTTTTACCGATACAGGAGACTTTCCGATGAGCCAACGAATTCTTTGGCCACATTTCTTCCCTGGAGCTCATTCTTGCTGCAGTTTCTGCTGTAGCCTGTCAAAAAGTAACTTTGTTATTCCATCCATAGTAAACTATGATAATACCCTGAGTGCATTATAACAATCTCTTAAGGAGTCTATATTCCATTCCCTTAAAAATTTTAATTAAAATTTTTAAATACATATTATAAGAACAAAAATGATGTATAATAAATCATTGAAGCATTACTACACATTATATAATATATATATATATTATATATATATATATATATATATATATATATATATATATATATATATATAAACTTCCCTCCTTCCTAAACATATTAGCACTTTCTAACTATATTGTTCATTTTTACATTCTACCCATTTTCCCTAATTACTATATTATAAGCAATGAATTTACATCATTAATATGGTAAACAAATAAAATTCAAAGTACATATATGAAACTTTAAAAAATAAGAAATCCTATAATGTATTTACACTGGCTGGAGAGAGACTCATCAGCTGCTCCATATTAATAATTAGGCTCTAAAATTTACTTTTCTTGAATAATTATTTTCCTTCAATATTATATCTATTTCTGCATCAACGATACATATCCTGCCACTATACTGGAAGCGAAATAAAAATCAATGCCAGTGTGTATGGTCAAGCTAGAGATCAACGACAAACATCACAGAGAAATTATCAGGTTCTGCATCGAGAGAAATGATCAAGGTCTGCATTGATGGATATTTTCAAATTCTACATTAAAAAAAAAATGAGATTCTGAATTGAGAAAAATAATCAGGTTTTGCATTAACAAATTATGCTTTATGCAAGTGAAGTTGTTCATTACACCTACAAAATAGTAATGTTGACAGAAGCTCCTCCAAGACAATTTACATCGACAGAGACTGATTAAATGGAAAAGGCTTCCAAGAGTGAAGAGGAATGATTGTTCACCAGAGTCAAAAAAAATCTAAGAAGGGATACTAAAGTTTCCCATCAAAGAGATCAAATATATCTGAGAATAAACTGACAATGTGAAAAGCAAAATGAGCAAAATTAAAATAATAATAATAAAACCCTGCTTTAAACAAGACTAGTAGTTTATTCATAATAAATATGCCTAGTTTTGACAGATTTCGTCTTCTCTACTATGTGTTACTGTATATATTAAATTAAATTTGAAGTCTATAAAAGAGACACATTTATACAAAACATTTTCTGTTTATATATTGTTAGCATTTAATAGCAATCAAGTTCTTTGGCAACAACACTTTTAAAAACAATGTCAAGACTCAAAAAAAAAAAAAAAAATTGTCAACAGAAATTCCCATGATTTGGAGTACAAAATACTGAAATGTTTATTTTAATATGTATGTCTGTGTGTATATTACACTTACAAACACTTACAAACACACACACACACACAACACACACACACACACACACACACACACACACACACACACACACACACAAACAGTACACCCCAGATTTCTTAATCAATCCGTTCCAAAAGGTTGGCCGAAATCTGAAATGGCCGAAAACCCAAGTAACATTTCCCATAATAAATAATTTAAATCCAATTAATCCATTTCAGACACCCAAAAACATTAAAATACATTTTATAGAGAATAACTATAGTTTCACATACAGAAAACAATGAGAAAATATAAATGACTAATTTTAATGATAAATGAACATTACATACCTTTATTGAAGACTCTTGTTGGTGAGTAGTATTTATTTGTAGTCCCAGGTGGACTACATCCCAGTGTATACCTACCGGCTACATACAGTGCAGCCTACAGCCATATTACCATCAACATACCATGTTCACTGAGTTTAATGGTTTCTAACAACTACCTTTAGATGCCATCATAAACAAAGGGAGAAGTAATGAATAATTCATGCCTAGAATTGTAAACAAACGCATATGAAGGCCAGTGACCGGACCAGACACCAGTTTCACAGTTTTCTCTAATGCTGAATTAGAGAAAACCTAATGTTTACTCTACACCCGACTTACCGCTCACAATGTTTATATGCTATATGCTATGTAATGTGTTTCTTATACATATAACTTTGAAAAAAAAAAATATCCGATGGATTAATGAAAATGTCTATAACCTAAAATAAGACATTTAATGTGGCCCAAGAATGAGTCATGAATGTACGAGTGGCCCAGGTGAGCGCGTCTGGTACCAACGATTTCCGAGCAGATGCACGAAACCAGGGCAGAGGGTTCACCCCAAAAAAGTGCTTGATTTCTGAACTGACCAATTTCCACACAAGCCGAAAACCGGGGTTCCACTGTACTAAATATATTTAAATTAAAAAGCAAGTCATGTACAGTAGGGCCCCACTTTACGGCGTTTCGTTTTACGGCGTTCCGCTAATACGGTCATTTCAAATTATGACCAAAACTCGATATACGGCTCCCCCCATGTGACCTTCTGATATGGTCACCGTGCCCCACCCGGTTTGTTTACATTCTCTGTGAGATCTGTAAGCACTAAGTCAATCCATTTTGTCTGGAAACTCCAAAATCTCAAGTGTTTTTAAAAGTTATTTCATATTTTATATATACTCTGATAATTATACTTATGTATACCTGTACCTAAATAAACTTACACACTGTGCTGGCGTGCAGGTACACATTAAAATCAGTAAGTTGTCTTATGTCTCTAGACGTCATATTAGTAATCATAATAATAATCATCAAGTCTCATTTAAATGTCGTATATTACGTTAATATACACATTTTCATTAATCCATCTATGATATTTTTTCAAAATTATATAATAAACACGATGCATAACATATAAATATGATAAATACACCCCACAGTAGAATAAATAAACATAAATGTGAGATGTGGTAGCAGACGACTTGCACAAGTGACGCCATATTAGAAATAATAATAATCACCGAGTCTCATTAAATGTCGTATATTACGTTAATGTACACATTTTCATTAATCCATCCATGATATCTTTTTTTCAGAATTATATAATAAACACGATACATAACATAAAAAGATGATAAATACACCCCACAATAGAATAAATAAACAAATATGAGATGTGGTAGCCAGATAACTTGTACAAGTGACGGCAAGAATAACATTTTCTCTAATCTAACATAAGAGAAAATGTGTTACTGGGGATAACTGTACAAAATTATTCCTTTCGTATGTATGTAAGTTTATTCAGGTATACACAAATACAGTTACATAGATTATCATACGTAACATCTATGTAGAGAACCCAGGATAACCCAAAAAAGTCAGAGTGACTTATTTCCAATGCCTTCACTCAGAGCATCATTTCTTCTCAAAATGATGTTACATGAGAATGGGAGTGTTCTTCTTTATTTATTCTATCATATCAATGTAGAGACAACTTGTACACAATGTAACTTGTACACAAACCAGACATGTAGACTTTTTTTGTTTACAAAACTTATGTTCGCCTGGTTTGTTTACATAACTCGGCGCCTGTCCTCTCTCATGCACTCATTCTTTCTCTCTCTCATTTATTCGTTTTATCTCATTCACTTACTCCTGACCCTACATTAAGACTACAAATATTTTAAGGTAAGTAAAGAGTGAACTGTATATACATTTTATCGCTCTGGGATGCTTAAATGTAATAGAATATTATGTGGCCTGGTATGATAGCCTGGCTGTCTACCATACATACCACACTTGATTTCTTACAATAAATACTGCTTGTCCCACCCTAGATTAAGACTATAAATATTTTAAGGTAAGTAATGAGTGCACTATGTGTGTATTGTACTTTTTTATTGTTTTTTGATGCCTGGTTCTATTGCTAACTTAATATATGTTAGTGTAAACCTGTTATCTAGTGTTTGTATGCATTTATAAGTGGAAAAAAAGGATGTTCCACTTTACGGCGGTTTCAGCTTTACAGCGGTAGCCTGGAACCTAACCTGCCATATAAGTGGGGCCCTACTGTATATATATATATATATATATGCCTCGGTGGGAGACGGCCGACTTGTTAAAAAAAAAATTATATATGTATATATATTTTTATTAAATTTTTTTTTAACACACTGGCCGATTCCCACCAAGGCAGGGTGGCCCGAAAAAAAAACATTCACAACGTTTTTCTTCTCTTTTTTTAGTAAATGAATGAATGAATATATATATATATATATATATATATATATATATATATATATATATATATATATATATATATATATATATATATACAGTGGACCCCCGCATAACGATGGCATCACATAGCGATTATTTTGCATACCGCTTACTTTAATCGCAAAAATTTTGCCTCACATACCGCTTAAAAACCCGCTTACCGATTTTCGTCCGAGACGCGGCCTGAGCCACGCTCACATGTTCCGCTGGTGGCATTGTTTACCAGCCAGCCTCCGCGGTAACATCCAAGCATACAATCGGAATATTTCGTATTATTACAGTGTTTTCGGTGCTTTTTCTGGAAAATAAGTGACCATGGGCCCCAAGAAAGCTTCTAGTGCCAACCCTACAGCAATAAGGGTGAGAATTACAATAGAGATGAAGAAAAAGATCATTGATAAGTATGAAAGTGGAGTGCATGTCTCCGAGCTGGCCAGGTTGTATAATAAACCCCAATCAACCATCGCTACTATTGGTGGTACAGCTGCTGCTGCTGCTGCACTGTCAGCTGCTGCTGCTGCTGTAGCACCGTTGTTGGTGTGGCTTATTGAGAATACCAAGAAACAATTAACCCCAGAGGATTTGCCACCCAGGATAACCCAAAAAAGTCAGTGTCATCGAAGACTGTCTAACTTATTTCCATTGGGGTCCTTAATCTTGTCTCCCAGGATGCAACCCACACAAGTCGACTAACACCCAGGTGAACAGGGAAAAATGCCTGGAACTAGTGCTCATATTGGTGAATTTAAAGCCAGCAAAGGTTGGTTTGAGAGATTTAAGAATCGTAGTGGCATACACAGTGTGATAAGGCCTGTTCTGGAAGAAAATGCCAAACAGGACCTACAGTACTCAGGAGGAAAAGGCACTCC